TTACTATTACTGGTCATTATCCAACTGATTCTCATTCAGAAGCCTGAAATCTCACTTTCTATTGTAGCTGCTCTCCTCCATAGCTTTTCTTGGGTGCATGACTATTCTCCAAGCCTGAGGTAGTTTGATATAATTATTTTCTTCAACCTGAAGTTGTAAAACTGAAATGTTTTACAGTAAGAGTTCTCAAATCTCGCCACACAACGTATCAAAATTTATTAAATCATTTCTTCCTGGTGGGCTAATTCAATCTTTTAAAATCATAAACAATGCTATAATAATGTCATGTATACATCACGAATACAGGCGTACCTGTAGGAAAGTCGCTGCAGGAGGACTGACTTTAGGGTAAAGGACTGTATTCTGAAACCTAGCACATATCATTCAATTCAATGGTTTTCACCGAGATTATTTTCTCTCAAAGAAACTTGGGAGCATAAAAGTAATAAATAACTTTTATTCTTAGTAATATTATACTTACCTGTATTTATACGTACTCCCTTGCCCCAAAATAGTTTACTTTTACTGGTTTAACATAATCAATGACAAGAACATAAAACTACAGTTGATTTCTAATCTATCCTGTTTGATAAACCACTATTAAATTTTAATAAGCCCTCAAAACATCACATTCCATTATTCCAGGTCATCTAAAAATCCTTACATTTTAGGTGGGAAAAGTCATTCATTACAAAACTTTTGAAAAGGAGACATACTTGAAATATTTCTAAGCATCCCCAAGAATCACAGAACAGGAAAGCCTCTTGCAGACAAACTAATCTAACCAGGACCGGTTTAGTGTTGAGAAAAATGAGCCCAGGAGAGTTGACACAGATAGACTATGTCTGTTTGTACCAAAGTCGAACCTCAGGCATTCTGTTCTTGACACTAGCTCTTGCCTCTGACACTCTACAGGAGAACTGCCCCTTTGTACTGAACAAAGTTAGACTGGTGGTGCCCCAGCCACTCTTTATGACTTACATGGTAATCAATAAACTACACACACTGATGTGAAACTGTACTCAATATTGCAGGAGTCACATATGTAACCGCAGTCAACAAACATGCTATATGTGGAGGGTTACCAAAAATTACAGTGAATGACTAAATTTTTTTTAAAAGGCATTACAGTAAAACACAAATTGCCATTAATCCCCCCAAAATATTCCTTCTCATTTTGAACACATTTACCCCACCACTCCTGCCGCTTTCTGAAGCAGTTGTGAAAGTCCTCTTTCATGAGTTCTTTAGTTGCATGGCTGCCTAGAGAGCCTGAACCCATGCACAACTTTTACCTTTCATGGTCATTTAACGTGGGGGGAAGAGACAGAATGAGGGAATGAGGGCACACTGTAGTGTTTTTACTGATAGAAATTGCTGTAAATATTTTGAATAGTTTCAGTACAATAATTGAATTGATTAAGGCAGCCACAGAAAGACAACCATGGAAGAGGACTTCCAGAACTGCTTCAGAAAGCTGTAAAAATGATGGAAAAATGGCATTCAAAGTGCGGGGGAATATTTTGAGGGGGGATAATGGCAACGTGTCTTTTATTATAACCTAATTTTTAAAAATTTTATTTAAAGAGTATTCACTGTATTTTTGATAACACCTAGTATAAACGCACACACACGTAGATCGATCGATAGATAGACATAAATATGGCTAGATATGGAACCTCCAGGGCTTGCATGTTAAGTTCAGTTGGAAACTGACATGAAAAAGCACACTGAATACCAAGGAGTAACTAGGAAACAGAAACCGATCGGGATGTATGTGTAACCCAAATTTTCTTTTTAAAAACTATTTAACACAGCTTGTAATCTTTATATCTATATCTTTCAAAAGATCCCATTGAGCTTCTGAATTTACCTTGCTCTGCCTAATTTAAACCTATCACTGTCTATATGTAGTGGATAACACCTTACTAAAACATTAATCTGTATAGTTTGAATAGCATTAATTAAAATTTATCGATATCACTGATGTAATTTTCTGACAATTTAAAACTTCAGTAGGAAAAACAGAAATATAAGGTATATATAGTGACTTGTTGGTACAGATTATATTTCAATTTATAGTTTTTTACCCAACTTGAAAATATTTAGGTTCCAGATGTACTGATGACAGTTAAAAAATACTTATTCAAATGACATCCAGATTCCAAATCTATCATATTTTTAAATGGTTGATAAATTCACCGCCAAGTCTGAGCAGCCCTTAAACTTGATTACTTTTTGTGCCTGAGCCAAAAGAACAAATTTGAATAATGTTAACTTGGGCAAAATGGTAGCGTGTATACACAAACACTACACTTCTCAAAAACAGCTTTGATTTTTCCTTTAAAAATCACTCTTCTAACTTGAAAATATCCTCTTGAAAACAGGATGGAGATTGGAGAGACTTAGGATTTAAAAAAAGAAGAAATACTTTAAAGCAAGATTAACTATTGCTTTAAGGCTTGACATTTCCCAATTAATAATCCTAAAGCTTAATGAGGCACAACAAACTTAAGAATTGAAAATTTTTAATGAAAAAGAAATTAAGGACAGTTTGGTGCAACATACTGCCGCCAAAATAATCTATTTCATAATGACATTAGTTTCTACATGCAAAAAATAATTTAAATGATAATAATTTAAAAAGAATTTCCTCTTAAAATCTCAGTCTGAACTTTTCAAAGGGCAGGGCAGACTGCCATTAAGATACAAGTCAAAAAGTATAACCTATATGTATATTTTGAATTTGTAATTGAGGCCTATGTGTGTGTGTGTATGTCCTTTGAAATATATATCCAAAATATTTTAGAGAACACAAATTATTTTTAAAAATGAATCTAGTACATGTGTAATGGACCAACTATCAATAATGACCACATGCCTCAAGACAAGCAAAAGCAAAGACAAATATCAATATATTCAATACCTTAAATAAACTGTGAATACCAACTAATTCCTTTTACTTTCACAAGAACTTGAAAAGTTGCAAAGATACATGAAAATCATAAACACTGAGAATAAATACATGTTTTATACTTAGGATGATTATTGAATCTTAGATTTTCCACATGGCAAAACAAAGTTTATTTCTTTCTTTAGGCATTTCATATCTTCAAAGTAAGGTTGAGGTAAAAAAATGACATGGTTTATGCATCTATTTTCCAAGGTTCTTCATTCAAGTTTGAAACCAGCATGTATATGATAAGACTAAGACTCTAGAATATCTATAAACATTAAAGTATTGTACTGGAAGCCTTATATCCCATTCCTTATAATCTACTCAAGTGTATTTAAATTACAACAATGGGCTATGCAATTAAGATATAAACAAGAAAAACAAAATAGGTTTCTAATCTATTAATTGTTGGGTTGGTAGTGTTTAAATTGATTTTCTCCCTAATGATAAACCTATGTAAGGACTTGAAAGCCACTTGTATAATTTAAAAAGAATTTTGTGATATAACATTTTACCCCTTAATTAGTGAAATTTAATATTCCAATTCTGGGTTTTTTATATAAAGGACAATGCTAATACCTTTAATTAAAATAAGGAAGACCACAGAAAATCTTGAAGCTGAATATCATATTATGTAAAATTACCTGCAATTATGTAAATGTAGGTAAAGAGTAACTAAACTAATAAAGTGCCTCTCGAAGTAAAACAGGCAACGTGGACAGTTTGGTTAAAAATTAAAGCAGAGTCCACGAACATGCAGTTATATTTTACTGGTCTGGAAGAGCAAGCTAGCTCTGTAACTACACTAGAAACCAAACCGTTCTCTTTCTTAAAACTCTTGGCCGCTTAATCTAATTTGGACCAGGAAAAAAAAAATTATGGCAGATGACTGCGGAGGAGCCACATTCACCTTGAGGATAGATCTTTGTTGTTCTGGTGTGTAAAGACCATTAGCTCAGTCTTTTTTTTTTTTTTTTTTTTCCTGGTACTGGGAATTGAACCCAAGGGCTTGTCATTTGCTAAGCAAGCACTCTATCCCCTGAGCTACATCCTACATCCCCAGCCCTTAAAGACTTTTCTAGTCTCTGCTGCACCGTTCACATAGAGCACTTAACCCTAAAAACTCACGTTGCACGAAACTGTTCTGCGTCCAATCTCAATGACCTTTCACATCATTCAATGTTACTGTTCCACCTGTACTCGTGAATTAGACTGCTGAATAACCTGATGACAAAGTTATAATGCCCTCTTCCGCGAAGGTTTACAGAAGTCAACATCAGTATAGAAGAAAAGCAAAGTACACATAGAGTTTAGATGGACCTATTACCCAATGTTTCTAAATGGTATTTTTCAAAATGCTTAAAGAAAAAAACCTGACGTCCAACATTCACACCTGACTAAAAGGCCGAGGGTGGAAAGGAGATTGCTCCGCTCTTGGACTTGCCCTGGTATTAATGAACCAACACGAATACCTCCTCCTGCCCCAACTCCACTCCACAGTTCAGTGAGAACTTACATTTAGGTCAAAAAGTTGGTGCAAATAACCAGCGACTGCTGGATTCACAGTCTGAGGACTTAAGGGCAGTAAATGAGCAAAGCTGCGCAATGATGTATAAAAAATAATGTTTTTAAAAGTAACTGTTTCTTGACTTGAGACCACTCCTTTGTTAAAGAAAAAGAAAATACGATACACATAGGGTCTTTAAGTTTGTCTTGCCTTTCCCTTAACTTCATACAGTGGGAGTAGCACTTTTTTCCTTTTCACCCCGCAGCCTACCCTCTTTCAAAAACCCGATTTTTAAAGGAGAAACAATCAATGAAGTGACAAAAGGGGCAAGAAAGAGGAGTGTGCGCTGGGAGAATAAAGGGCGGTTTTATAACAGAAGGTACTTTTGTTACCAAGTGACTGGCAGGTCTCCTCCTCCGAGTCAGAAAAAAAATCCCATCCACTCCCCAAAACTGCAGAGGCCAAAATGTCTGGTCTAATAGTTCTGAAATCCCAGAGTCAGGACTTGGGGCGGGGGGGGGGGGGAAGAGTGGGGGAAGGGGAGAGAGAAAGATCAGCAGGAGGCGAAAGAACAAAAGGAGAAACCCGAGAAAGGGGGAGAGGAACGCGGGGCCCGGATGGTCCGGGAGCCGGTGGCGCAGGCGAGAGGCGGAAAGTGGTAAGCGAGGCCCAAGCGGGACGCGGAGCAGCAGCCTGGGCGCCGCACCCTGGCGCACCATGGACAGGGCTCGGGGACGCGGCCCACGCTCCTCTAGGGGGCGGCGGAAAGGCGCGAGAGACCCCAGCGGGAGGAGGCCGGCCGCGCCATCTGTCCCCACTTGCCACCTCCCGCGCAGGGCACTTCCGAGCCGCGCCCGCACTTGTCGCGGCTGCCACCCAGCTGGCCGCCGCCTCCCCCGACGGAGAGCGCAGGGTGCTCCGCGACGGATTTCCCGGCCCCGGGGCAAGGGCGGACACACCCCTCTGGCGCAGCCTCTCCGGGACCCCGCAGCAGACGGGGCACTGTGGGGGCCGCAGACGGGGCACTGTGGGGACCCCGCAGCACACCCGCCCAACAGGAGCCAGGGTCGAGCCCGGAGGACCGGCTGGGGCTCGGAGGAGGCAGCCTCGGGCCGGACGCCTCGGGAAAGTTGGGCAGAGGGCCGGGCAGGGGGCGAGCGCACGGAGAGGCCGGGGGCCGCGACCTGCCTGGAGCAGGTGCTTCCCGCGGCGGGGAAGCTTCGCGGTGCGGCCGGCGCTCCGGAGAGGGCGAAGTGCGCAGGGCTCCGGCGGACGCGCCCCGGGACGCACGCAGCGCAGAGCCAGCCGGCCCGAGCCAGGGGACAGTGCCCGCGCTCCAACTTCTCCCCGCAGGCGTGGGGGGCCGGGGCGGGTGCGGGGGGCTGCTCGGGGCCGGGGGCGAGGCTGCCTTTCCCGGTGGGACCGACACAAAACAGGGCGAGCACAAGAGAAGTGTGAGCGAGGGAGACAATAGGACAGCGAAGCCCTTGGGCCCCCGGGAGGAGCGCGGGTGCAGGGTGGGGTGGAGTGCAGGCAAGTCCCGTAGTAACTAAGACACCAGAGTGAGAATTTCTGCTGCAAACTCGCGACCCAACCCCGAAGAAATTTAAAAAAAAAAAATCGGAGCAAAGTGCAATGCGAAGGGCGAGAAGCAGGAAAAACTGCAAAACCTGGGAGTTAGCCTGCGACCCTTGGCCGCTACCTGGGGACATCCCCCGCGGGCTCCCCCGCCCCAGAGGGTGGCAGCGGGGCCCGCGATCAGAGGGGCAAGGGAGCCCAGTTGGCCCCGGCAGCCCGGCCCGGACTCCGTGCTGTGCAGCTCCGGGCCGCGCGGTGCGGCAACTCCCTTCCCGGGTGCGCAGCCCGGCCCCGCAGCGGTGCGGGGAACAAAGGGACCCGGCGCCGCCCGCCCACCCCGCCCGCAGCCCGGCCCGCGGGGACGGCCCTGTACCTGGAGCAGGGCCGCCAGGAGCGGCAGCAGGGTCCGCGGCGCTCCCGCTATCCGGCACATGGAGGCGGAGAGGGGCCGAGCGAGGAGCCGGAGGCGGCGGCGGAGGCAGCGGCAGCCCCAACAGCGGCGCGGAGAGAGGCTCCAGGCAGTTTCCACCCCTTCCTCCCTCCCCTCCCCACCCCTCCTCCGCGGCTCCGCGCTCCCCGCCAATGGAGAGCGAGCTGATGACAAATAGCGGGCCGCCGAGTCCGCGGGACTCGCACCAGGAGTAATAAAACAGACCCGGAGATCAAGGGCCAGCAGGGGCGGGGGAGAGGGGCGGGGTGCGTGAGGGTGAGTGTGTGCGTGTGAGTGTGTGTGCGCGCGCGCGTGGGGAGGCGGCCGCGGTGGCCGAGCGGGAGCGGCCCGGAGCGCGGCGGAGCAGCGAGTCTGCGGCGGCGTGGAGCTCGGCCGGGCCGGGGTGCGGAGCTCGTCGGCGTGAGGCTCAGGCTCGCGGCAGCGCGTCCCTGGGCCGCTCTCTCTAGGGCCGCTCAGGGAGACAGGGCGGCCGGGGACCGCGGCGGGGCGGGCGGGCGCTCCCGGCCGTGCGCGCGGCGCCCACAAAGGGAAGAGTCCCGCCACCCTGCCCCCGCTGCGTGGGGCTCAGCGCCGCCTCGGGCGCCCTCCCGAGCGAGCCCGCGCCGACTGGATACTGTCCTCTGGCCTCGGCCTGCTCGGGGCACGCCAGGGCCCGCGCGCTGCCCCGGCCCCGCGCCGCTCCCCGCCGCCGCCCGCGCGCGCCACTCTGCCCCCGCCGCTCCCGGCTCCCGCTGCCCGCTCCCCGCGCGGCCAGCTCCGCGCCGTCCCCTCCCGCCGCCTCGCCCCCGCCTCCTCCTCCTCAGGCCTCCCCGCCCGCGTCGTGGCCAATGGGAGGCCACCGAGCCAAGGCGGTCGCCGGCCGGATCCGCGGCAGCCGCCGCCCCCGCCCTGCCCGAGCGCCCCGCTTTTTTGCTGCAGCCCGCGGGGGGTCGCCGGAGAGAAGCCTGGTGCTCCGAGCGCCGCCCCGGCAGGCAGGTGGAGGGGCTGCGGGGAGGAGGGGAACTCGCGCAGCAACTTGGTGGGGACGGCTCGGCTCGGTCCTCGGAGGGAAGCTGATGGAGATTAGGGATCGCGGGGGGGGGGGGGGGGGGGAGATGCCTCCTTGGGCGTCCAACGCACGCTTCTCTATTTTGTAGTTCTTTGGAGATAGGTTTTTGGGTTTTCTTCCGCGTAGGGGCAGACACATCAAACTAAAGACGCGAGCAAAGCCCTCGCTGGCCATTGTTGTCTGGGGCGCTCACCACAGCAACCTGCTCGGGGAGCAGGCGGCTCCTGCAGGACGCACGCACCCGGCTCTCCAGCCTCCGCCCTTGCTGATGTGCTGGAACGGCTCAAGTTTTGGGGTTTCTGTTTGCTTTTTTTTTTCCCCAAAGCAGGAGTTTGAGAGTGCCTGCTATTTCTCTGAAATCTCTCCTTTTACTTTTACTTTTACCTTTATTTATTTATTTATTTATTTATTTATTTATTTATTTTTACTCGATGGTGGGATTGTTCATATTTTGGGGTAAATACTTTCAGGGACTTTGACACCGTCCTGCACCCCCCCACACACAATAATTTAGAAAATAAAAAAGCAGAGAGACACAAAGCCAGAACTGGAGGTGAAAATAGGATTATCTGAAAGATAAAATGGCCCATACAGAGTTCGCACCAAGTAAAGGCTGTTTATTTTCTTTTAAGGCATGAACCTGGTAGGCAACGAAAGAGTGAGAGACTTTTACAAGTCTGGATAACAAACACTTATGCAATGGGAAAGGGGGTGGGGAGCAGTTGATTCTGGCGAGGTAATAAATTTTTTTCTGGAATCTTTTCTTCAAAGGTTTTACAGGTAAATAAAAATACCTGCTTTATCTAACCATTGCAAACCTTGGTGGATGGGTGAACCTCCACGCAGTACAGGAACTCATTCTCCCTTTAATGCTTACTCTTTGAGCAACTGAAAGGTTAACGTTATTTAAATTGGAGTTTCAAGATACTGATCACTTAAGAACTTGATGATGAACCTGAAAAAATCAAGTACTAATTTCTTCCAGACAACTGATGCAGCTTTTAATAATGTGCTCTTGCTGGTTAGGCTTTTAAAATTTTAATATTAATGGGGGGCTTATTCAATTTTAATTAAAACATAATATTGTAAGCCATTTTTAAATGAAACTCAACATTTTTTCCTGCATTTTCTTTCTTCTCGAAAGAATAAGAAAGGTTATGTTAATTAAATTGGAAAGATGAGATGAAAGGCTCTGCTAATATAGCAATCAGAGCTACTTGTTCTTTCTCTTCCCCTTTTTTGCTAGATATTATTGTCAGACTACTGCTATCCAGCCTAAAAGTTAGCTTTGTGATAGGATATTTGTAAATCCCAGCTTCAAGGAATCATGCATAATAGTAAAACAGAAGCAGCACAAGAGACATGTTTGTCGTATTCTCAAGTGGAATTTATGGATCCCGTTTTTACCCCTGGGAATTAAGGTGTGATCCAGGATGTGGGGCCTTAGTGGGATCCTCAGCTTTCCCAGCAGTAGCCACACATGTTTATTGCCATGCTGATTCATTTGTAGGTAGAACACATTTTAGCATGAGCAAGTCTCTTGCTTGTTAGTATCATTTGCTTAAAGCTTTAAACATCGTGTCCTCTAAATTAACTCTTTATTATGACTTCAAAAGTCTGCTTTGGAATGGCTGCCTTGTCAACTGTTTTTCTGATTCCAACAGTTTTTGATCATTCAGGCAAGCACTTCCAATATTTTTTTTAAATTCAATTTGCATGCCTGTCACTTTTCAATGGTTGTAAATTGGATTTGGAATCTTGCCTGATTTTAATCTGATCACCTGGTCAGCTAGATCTTGCTAATAGGCCTTTGATTGCAAAAAGTAATAGCCAGGTCTAAAGTCATGTTGGAGATTTTGTGCATGCATCGGATGTCCATGAAGAAGATCTAGTGTTGTCTATGGCATCTAGCACAGGTTTGCCTCTGTAACAGCATCCTTAATGTCATGTGACGGGGCCATTCATTTTTCTGAGCAGATGATGACCATGCCCTCAGACTTTTAGTCCCTGTTCAAGCACTGCCTGTCTGAAGACTGGCTTTCCAACAGCCTGTAGAACTGCAAGGAGGGCAGAGGCCTTGCAGGGACCCAGAGAAACAACCACATGGTACTGTGAGTGAGGTTCAAGAAGACAAGAAAAATGATAAGAATTAAGGATGGGTTCGTGTACCAAAAATCAATCTAATCCTTGATTTCTTACCAAAAGGCTCCTGCTAATGTACTACAAATGTGTCTGTACACCGAGCGTTTTGCGCAAGCTGAGTCATTGATCTCTTGCACATGTAGACAGTTTCCATAAGAATGCAGATATGGTCACGGTCCATTTGAAAACATCATTTCAAAGTAGAATCCTAATGACGTTTTGCTGTGGTGTGTTTTCTCATCTTGTGAGCTTTTGTACAAGAGGCTCTCCCTTCAGAAACGAATGGCAAGCAGTCTAGTGTCCTTCGCATACCGCCTGCAGGCGCACCTCCAGGGCAGGACCCACACTTGCCTCCAGTCACGTAGTAATGCCCACTTCCCAAAGGTTGAACGAACATTCTTCCTCCTTCCCAGTCTCCAGGAAAAGCTAGTTCCATCTTTTCTCCCATAAGAATCACCCACAAATTACATTTTCCTCCTCAGTTAACTTTAGTGTTCATTAATGCTAAACTTTCTTGGGTAACACCCCTTTAAGAAAGCCATGGAATGTCCTACGTGAAACTTTAAGATGGCCCATGCAACCACCTCACGTGCCAGTAGGGACACTAGATGCTAACAAAGGTAAACAGAAGGCTACCTGCTGGCCACTCTTCTTGGGCTCTTTACCTGATTCAAGGGAGACCTTTTAACATTAGAAAATTCAACTTCCTGGAACAAGAGAGAAGTCTGAAAAGAAGAAAATGTAAAGATACTAAGGATCATCTATTTTCTCAAGTATTTGTTTTCTTCTACAGATCTCAGTTCTCATGTGCCTTTCTTCATATGATCATCTTGCCTTGTTTAGTGTGATTTTGGCACAGGTAAAGGTCCATCTCTTTGATACAAGCTGGCTGCTAAGGATAAACATGCCATTCATGTGGGACTTAACCAGGGCAGTATTGCTCTGCTTCAATACTAGAAGAAAAAAAACTTTAAATTTACACTCATTTGGAGATACTATTTTACTTTTATTTTTCAGTATTTTAAAATCAAACTCTCATCTCATGAAAAATGCAGCTAAGAAACTTGAAGTACATATGGTCAGTCAGGTAAGTGAGTTATAAATTTGTCTGATGAGCAACTCAGCAGAGGGATGTAATCAGAAGTAACCCTTGCTCAATAAGGAAGCTAAGCAAAAAGAATGCCTCTCTGGAAGGGAGAATATATAACAAATGGATAGGGCTTTGAAGCTAACCAGTTTGAAACTTTTTTGTTTTGTTTTGGGTGCTAGAGGTGAAACCCAGGGCTTTGCACCTATTTTACAAGTGCTGTACAATGAGCCGTATCCCCAGCTTAGTTTCTTAACATTACTAAGATCTTTTCTTATTTCTAAAATGTGAATAATACCAATTGTCTTACTTTTCTCTTTGTTGAGACAAAATACTAACACTCAAAGGTAAAGCTGGAAAGGTTTATTTCACCTCACACTTTGTAGAGGTTTCAGTCCATATTTGGCTGGCCACAAGGCAGGGCAGCATAGCAGAAGGCCATCACAGATGAGAAACAGTCCGTGGCATGGCAGGCAGAAGGCAGCAAGCACCCCGCTTTCCTTTCCCTTTTACCCCATCTAGGCTATGTGCCTTTTGGGTGGTGCTAATTACAATCAATGGACTAATTTCGTACCACACACTCTTAATCCCAGTACCACATCCCCTAGATCCAGCCAGCTCCAAAAGCCCCACCTATGAGCAAATAAGGATTTGGAGAGATATCTAGATACAAGCTGTAACACCAATATTTCCTAAGGAAACCTAGTATGAACAAAGTGGAACACAGGTGGGTCTTGGTATTTAACTTAGGTATGCACTAAATATGCTGATTTCCATAGAGAATTCAGAGCAGTTAACTAGAAATCTCAATAAATACTCTTCTGAACTCCTCCAATTATGTCTCAAAATTTTTTTAAAAAGGCCTTTAATAAACATTTTATCGAAGTTCAAATTTTATAGAATAACACCAAATCTCTCATATAAAAAGTATTGATGAGTAAATAATTCACAGACTAACACAAGAAATGAAAATTTAGTATCTTTATAAAATGCAAAAAAACCAAGGGTGTGGCATATGAAAATATCTGTAGGAAACAATATACTCAGTATCAATGTATTGGTTTATGTATTGGAAAAATAATTCATTTTAAGTTATCTCATCAACTAATACTAGCAGGGCCAGTACTAAAACTTGCTTTTTACCTACCTCCTGTGAACCTGATTCATGTGGTTTATTGAGCCACTTTCTGTGTCTCCTGAAGACCAGGCTGTATAGTTGATCACATGAGTCCTGCTTAAAGGTGATCTATAGTTGAGAAAAATA